GTGTACTCATTGGATTAGGGTTTCATCATTTGGGCCTCGGTTTGGGCCGATCTTTGGACTTCTTAGCTATTGAGCCTTATTGGGCCATTAGAAGTCAGTTATTGGGCTAAGGTCATGTTTGGGCTTAAGGGAAGGCCCATTTGAGGACTTGGGCCCAATTTAGAAAATTGGGCCATAAGTGGGCATTAGTGGGCTTAGAAAGGCTATATAGAACTGGACCATGTATGTTATGGATCTGGGCCTTAGTTATGGACCAAATTAGATTAGGGGTAAAGTGGTCATTTTACCCTAAGAAGGAGTATTGGATTTTGACTAAGTGTTATTTTGGTAATGTTAGCTCGGGGAGTCATCGGAGCAGCCGCTAGAGATTCCTTGTCGTGAGATTTTCGCGTTCAGCTTTGCGAGGCGAGTTTCCTCATGTAGGAACGGGTCAAAGGCACCAATGCCGGCCCGTTTATGTATGTTAGTATGATCCGGACTAAGGCCCGATGTCGGGCAGTACCCGATGTAGATTTATATGTTTCCAGATTCCGATCTGATGTCGGGCGGTGATAGAGGAATGTTTGTATGTCTGATGTCTTCGTGATTCTTGTATGTGTCTGTATTGTATGTTTCCGGATTACGGTCTGATGCCGGGCAATGCCCGATGAATGTTTGTATGCTTCCGGATTTCGCTCCGATGCCGGGTGGGGCCCGAGGAATGTTTATATGTTTATGTTATGTGATTATTTATATGTATTTGTTGATATGTTTATATGTATACCGAGATTTGCTCGATGCTGGGCGATACCCGATGCCGGATTTCGGTCTGATGCCGAGCGGGGCCCGATGTCGGACTTGTCTAATGCCGGGCGGGGCCCGATGTAGCGAGCGGGGTCCATGATATGTTAATATATGATTATGTGATTATGTGTATGGTATGTGGTAGTTTGGGGAGACTCACTAAGCTTTGTGCTTACAGTTTTCAGTTTGGGTTTCAGGTACCTCCGGTAGCAAGGGGAAGAGATCGGGATGACTGTAGTGCACACACCATGATTTTAGTCTGGGATGTTTTACTCTGATATATTTGACAGATGTTTATGATGTTTTGAGATATAATGACTTATGATTTTATGTGATGATTTGATAAATATTGTTTTTATTAATAATTAAAAATGAAATTTTTGGGCCGTATTTTTGAGATGTTTCAGGTTCAAGGTATGCAAAGCTTTTCTCGACTCTTCCTGTTCGTTTCTTTCTTTAGTTTTCTACAATTGGCTTATGTTGTTACCACAACTAGTTAGGACGAATTGTTGATCAACTTTTGCACTTGTTTAATTGTTTTGTAGATGAATTTAATCACAATTTTTTTAATTATATTTTTGTAGATGGAATTGATTGCAAACATGAAGCATATTGGCCACAATCACCATTTAATGATTTACTTATAAATTATAACTATTACAGACTAAAAAAGGCCGTCCTCGTTCAACAAGCCTAAAAAATGGTATGGATATTAAAGAAGGAAGAAATGCCAATATTTGTGGAATTTATAGGCAATCGGGCAATAATTGAAAATGATGTCCGTCTAAGCCAAGGTAATTAAAAAGACAATATCTTTTATGGTATTGTTGTGGCTATTCTTTTATTTTAGCTTTCTTTTTTACAGGTAATGATTTGTTACTAGTTCAAGTTCAAACTTATTGTGGTGTTTTTCTTTTTGTAACAAACAATGTTGAGTTTTTTTACCTTAAAAATATTATATGTGTAATGTTGGAGTTTTTGCACCTTAAAATATATTGTATGTTTAATTTATGATGACTAAAATTTAATGGTCAAATGTTGTATAAGAAAAATGGATATTTAAAATAAAAAAACAGAAATAAAATAAGTAAAAAAACTGTTATTTAAAAAAAAACAGTAAAAACTAAAATTAAAAACTGTTATTAAAAAAAACAATAAACATGTGAAATAAAAAAGAAGGAAGAAAAATTGGATATTTAAAATAAAAGGAAAATGACTTATGAGACCATTGAAGTTTTAAATTTGTTCAAAAAACACCATTCAAATATTACATGTTCAAAAAACACTATCAAACTAAGATACATGTTCAAAAAACACCAACCATATATATGTTATGTTCAAAAAACACCATCTTTATGATTTGAGTTATCTTATATGTTTAGTCCCTAACTTTTTTTCTTAACTCGAATGGTTCATATTGTTTATATTTATTTTGTCTTTGGACCTTGATCGAGTTAAAAGACTAATATACCCTTATTACTTTCATTTAACATTTATTTTTATTACTTGTTAATTATTTATACAATTGATATATTTATAATAAATAACAATATAAATTGTATAAATAATTAATAAATAATACAAATAATGTTAAATAAAAGTAATAAGGGTATATTAGCCTTTTAACTCGATCAGGGTCCGAAGTCAAAACAAATTTAAAATATAGGAACTATACGAGTTGAGAAAAAAAATTAGGGACTAAAAATGTAAGTTTTCCCAAACCATAGAGATGATGTTTTTTGAACAGAACATGTACTTCGTTGGTGTTTTTTGAACAAATATCTTAGTTTGATGGTGTTTTTTGAACATATAATACTTGAATGGTTCTTTTTAAACGAATTTGAAACTTTGACGGTCTTCTAAGTCGTTAAGAAATACCCTCTTCGTCTCATACTTATTGTCTACTTTTGATTTTTGAAGTCTTTATTTTCAATTTTGACATTAAATATTTTTGTTTTTGTTATATAATACTTGATATAAAATATATGAATGGATTGTGTTTTAAATGTCTTTTCATTGTTATAAGTTTTATCAAGTAATATATAACACAAATAAAAATATTTAAGGTTAAATTTGAAGAATAAAGACTTTAAAAGTCAAAAATAGACAACAAATATTAGATAGAGATAATACTAATTTGGTAAACATTTTTCAAAATACACTAAAACGGTAAATACTTATTTCAATCATCCAATAACTTTCGCATAAAGTTCGAGAGCTTCTCATTAGTTAGGGCATATATTCATGTGACTATATTAAGAATATACAAGTCACAAGATGGGTGTAACTATCACATTATAGGTCTAACTAGATGGGTCTTACCATCACATGATGGGTCTAACTAGTTTGTTTATAGCTTATTCAGCAAATTTGTAAACATGTATGTGTGTGTGTTTAAAACAAAATCTTTTAATATATAATAAATGTTATATTAATATTTAACAAATTTGTTGGGTCAGTATTGGTTTTTTACCAAATAACACACTATCTTGCCGATTGGTTGGAGCAAGTCACACCACAACGGCAATGACATCCCACAAGTTTGTCTGCCGGTTGCATTTGGCCTAAAGAAACAAAACAACAGTTGATTGATTTGCGAACAAGGACCACATATCCAACAAACATGAAGGAAATGAAGCATATCTAGAGAATCGAGCCTGATTTGATGGTTTTTCTTTTGTTTTGTGGTTAACAAATAACAACGATAAGTGATTTGTTTTTGTTTTAATTTTTAAGATTAATCATGATCAATGTTTTTTCTTACATTCATTGATCTTGAGGTGTTCATATAAGATTTTTATTGACGACTTGTGCTGTACAAGTGACACATTGCAACTTTAAAGTTTTAAATAAGTTTTGAGCATTTATGAAATCATCCCAAACTTTATAGTTCCTGGGGTATTATGATCAATTTTTAAAATATCCCCACCATCCAACAAAATCTTTACATGGATAAACAAAGATTTAAGGATTTTAAGGGGCACTTTTAACATAAAGTTATTAAAAAAAACTTTAACTTAATAATAATATCCGACTTTAACTTGGCTCAAAAAATATATTTACTCGTTTATCAAATATCTAAAAAAATGTTAAACAATGAAAAAAAAAAAACGAAAACAGTTGTATGAACTCACTTGTAATTATATACTATTAGGTTAATATCATAAAATGACAACCAATAATACATGACTTGTTCCTTAGGTAATAAAGAGTGCTCACTTTTTATTTATATACTATTAAGTTAACATCATAAAATGACAACCAATAGGTTATTTATCTTTATCTTTAGTTGTATATAATAGGTTATTAAACTTTTTTTAGGTTCTTATTACAAAGTGGAGTAAATTTCAATTGGATAGATTGGTAATCAAAGTTCCCTATAATAACGAGTTCTAACAACCAATATTACATGGTTTGTTCTTTAGGTTATTTATTTTTAATTGTATTTAGTAGGTTATTAAAGTTTTTAGGTCCTCAGTCCTCACTACACCAGTGGGGTAAAAGACTGGTAATCAGGTATTGAATCGTAAGTGACGTCCACTGTGACATTCAATATGACATAATTTTTTCAATTAATTTGGCGCTGACATTGCATCCATTATGGTATCAGGCATGACAAAATTACTAGAGTGTCGCTCTGATTGAAATGCATTCTAACGGTATAACGAAAATCCAGAATAAACTTTAATGACTTATTAAATACAATTTAAAAAAATGACAACAAAAACAACATTATATTAGTTGTAATTTTTTTTTTTTTTGACATTAGCAATTTATTATAAAAAAAGTAGTTCATATTTTGTAATTGTTAATTAAATAGTGTTACTTTATCATAAGTCAGATCTAACTTTGTTTTGTTGTTTAAAGCTTCACTTGAGCAATGAATAAAAAATGAAGAAATCGAGAAACATGTGAAAGCACCAAATGATTACCTTCCTCACACTCTTGCCCTTTGGCCAAAGCTAACCAACGTAAAGGACACATTTAAAATCCCATTTCCCCAAACAAATAACCATATAAATACAAACTTTTTAACTTATAAAATCCAAACAAAAATAAAATAACATTGGCAAAATATCTTAAAGAACTTTACTTATACAATATATATATAATTAGAGAATATTATATTATATCTAGTCTTTAACCAACATTGTACAACTTTTGCTTACCAAAATTGAACACAAGGACAAAAGAATAAATCAAAATCAAAATTAAAAATCTGCCATATAGGGAGTAACAAAAGTGATATGAGTTTCTGCAAAAGGCTTACCTACCTCCCACCAAAATTACTTTAATGTCCTTTTCATCCTAGACAGGAAAAAGCAGGCTATAGAGAGATACCCATAAACAAACCGATTCTAATATTCTATGCTTTAATCACTATCATTATTACTACTCATTTCTAGTTCCTATCCTAACAACAATTAAAGAATCTTCAGAGTCTGCATACCCTTATTTGGGCAGACTATACTCAAGTTTCTTAGACATGTGTGTCATCATTTCTAAACTTACATCAAGTTAATTAATTCTACCAACAAAATTTAACATCTTGTATCTTGTAGTTAGTTATCTTATCTACACCCCCTTTTCATCTCTCCTCATCCCATTTTCCGCATCTACCCCTGCATAAACATGAAAAAAAAAACAATTAGAAATTTCAAAATTAGGATAAAGAAATGTTCATTAACATAATAGATGGAATTGTACTGCATTGGACATTCTGTGAGATTGATATCAATGAGACAAAAATGGTTTCTCATCAAACAAAACATGGTACAGGGTGGGTGGGACAACAACTCATTCTAGATCTGTCGTATGGTTAAAAGACGTAAATACCCTCCTCATCCTTATCATCGAAAATAACCTTACAAAAGCATGTCCAGTCCTGTTAAGTCTAGTCCAGTTTAACAAACGGAACCTTAGTTTGCGTTTGTTACATGGGATGGAATTGGACCAGACTAAACAAGCTTCCGAGAGAAATTCTCAATGATGAAAATGAGGAGGGCATTTATGTCTTTTTACCATATGAGAAATCGAGAAAGTGTCATTGTTCCACCTTGTACCACATTTTTGGGTGTGACATAACATAACAGTTTATGTCACATTGACATCAGTCTCAGTTTCAATCCAATGCAATACATGTTGAACATAATATAACATATTATATTATGTCCAATATGGCATAACAAAGGGGGGTTTAAATTTAAATCTTTATGATGAAAATGAAGATGAAGGGAGGCAAGAGCATATACATACCATTTGGTGTGATTGGTTAGAAAAAGCAGAGTTCAGTGTAGCCATTTGCATAAGGCAAAAGCTCCTCCACCTCAATCCTAGAGCCAGAACAACTCATGCTTCTTCTATAACGGCTATGAACTAATTCAACTTCAGCCCAAAATAAGCTGTATACTGGCCTATGATCTGAAAACCTAGATTCACCACGAACATATGATAACTGATGTAGACCTCTTCCATACCACAAGATTCTATCACACCTTCACATTCAAATATTCTCCATTATATACAAATCATTCATTCATTCATACAACAGTTTATAGAAATAATCCCTACCATGCAGGTGTTCTTCTTTTCTCCTTATGGTGCAAATTATCCCCTGTATATCGATCTGAATTAGTTAAGTACTTGTATGTTGGAGGGAAATATATCTTCCCTTCATTCCATCCTTGAAACACACGCCCCCTTCTTTGTTCAATTCGCAGCTGCAATAAGAAATTAAATATCAATCAGCTGACAAAAATGTTGCATATGAAGACAATGAAAGTAGAACATGATGTTTAACAGCATACCTGGTCTTTTTCCAACAATGCCCTCCAATTTTGCATCTCAACAAGTGCTTTTGCTGAGCGGTAAGAGAGGGCGATTCGGTAATTCAGATCCCCAAGCCATATAATCCGACTGAAACCAATGTAGAAATTAGCTTTATCAGAATCTTATTAAGAGTATAAAAGTTGGAACAACAAGAAAAAAAATGGAGGATAATTTGTGCTTACTCGTGTTCGAGTATTGTCTCTGGGGATTTATCCTCTGCCATGCCCTGGACACGTGGAAATCTTGTTTTTTTAACAATTTCCATGAAATCAGAATTTCTTCTTAGTTCATCACCCTCTTTTTGTCCAGAAGTCAAATGACTACACACAAAGCAAAAACTTGTTTGATGCAACAACATACTCACGGATACGGATCCCTGCAAATTAATACAAAATCAATACCCGTTGTTTTATTTTTTAATCATTTTTTTTATTATAAAAAATATGTCCATAGAGATTAATACCTTATTTCCAAGATAACCCATCAATCCTCTACCAACACAAGACACTTTGATGTTTCCAACATGTTCTCTTAATTCACTCTTCACCCACACCGCAAGAAAAACACCAACCATTTGTTTACTTGCAACCAAACAATAACTTGAATGAGTGGGCCCCACTCTATACCCATCTTCAACACTATTGGCTCCCCAATTTGACATTGGTGAGAAAGAATTCCCATTCCCATTACCATTAGGATTCGGTATATCTTCCATGGGGCCACAATCATCATAATCACTTGGTCTCTGGCTCCATGAGTAATTACTTGGCCGCTGACTAGACGAGTAGTCACTCGGTCTGTAACTACTGTTACAGACCGAGTAGTCACTCGGTCTGTGACTGTAACTGGCCGAGTAATCACTCGGCCTGTGACCGGATGACGAATAGTCACTCGGTCTGTGACTCGAGCAGTCAGATGGTCTTGGACCAAAGATTGCTCGGTCACAAACACTGTATCGCCGCTCAAGATGAGTCGGTGGTGTTGACTGGTAATTTTCATTTTGAGGTGCTTGAAAAGAACGACGATGATAAAATGATGAATTTTTGTGTCTTGTTGAACCTTCAAAATCAGCATCATATTCAGCCACCGGATCGGGAACAGGTGAAGGTGCGTAGCACCCGTTTCCGCCACCTGGACGGTTGTTTAGGGTTCTGTGTATTAGAGATAACCATCTTTTTGCAGGACCGTTGTCTTCAGCTCCTAAAATATTGGCTGCATTTAAAGGAACTATTTCTTGAAATCTGAAGGTATAAATCAAGAATTGAAGTCAGTCATCTAGCATTCAAACCTCATAAATCAAAATAGAAACTTGAATCATACCCAAGAACGTAAATGTCAGAAGGAGGAGCAGCATGTAACCAATCATCAAGATTCATTTTGTTGGAAGGGGATTTTCCTCCTACGTTCCATGTAGCTGAAAAAATGCTGTTTCAAGAATTCAAGGATCGAAAATAAGTAAATAATTATTAAAAATCATAAGTCGAAAGTCAAAAAGGGGGAATAATTATGAGTTAAGGATACCTATAGTTCTGTATGTTTATGATCTGAGGGTGGTCAAGATCAACTGTTGACCACCTACGAGCTTCTGTACTCCTGCTGGATTTTTCTGTTCATTGAAGTGATATATACCATATGTTAATCATTTCATCAATCACCGAATGATGGATTGTTTAACTTCGTGACTTTGATTGTATCGAGAAAAAAGTATGTTGAGAATTTTTTTTTACCTGTTTTGGTTTTCTTGATTGCAGGGGGTTCCCTCTCACAGAAGCTACCTGTGATCATATAGTATGAAGCTTTTCAGTTAGCAAATTAGTGAAATTGAAAAAGATACCTGCTTCTCTTTTCTTAAAGATGAAATGATCATTGAAATTTTGGAAGAAGAATTGAAACAAACAGTTGGCGTACAAATAAAAAACAACAAAATTGGTGACTTTGTTTGAAAATATTTCGCCAGAAGTATGCTATTAGATACCTACCTCCACAAACAACATTATCAGCCTGAGATTCATCGGTTTTGCTCTTGATATTGAACCACTTTCGGACTAGTTTCTTCGACCAAGAGAACTTCAAAGAGGAGAAAAACAACGATCAGCAACAAAAACCCATACAGTAAAAGAAGAATTCAACTCGAACAAGTTCATCTTATGAATGAATTAGAACCAACAATCAAGTAAAATTAAAACCTTGTTGCTTTTGGAATTTGCATCCCTCATTTCTTCTCCCTACCAATTCATGCAGACTGAAATCTACTCGAAAACAATTCACCCTCTTCGGTTCAGAAACACTTATTGTCGGCAAATCCCTGAGTTAATTAACACAATGTTGATCCTTATAACTGCTGCGGCGTGTGTAGATATGAAATCTTTATATGTAATAAAGACAGGGAACCCAGAGAAATTAAGGGCACGAGGATCAAAGAGGGACAATCTCCTTTAATGCGTGGAAGTGAGATTAGTTCGATTCCGAGGCAAACATTAAAGTGAGAGAGTTTCTTTCTCCAGACACGCCCTCGTTCTTCGCAGCAACAAAAGAAGGAATCGAGGATTTTGAATGGAATAAAGTGCAGGGAAGGACAGAGGAATGGCAATGTTTCTCAGGGCCGGCCCAAGGTGGTGGGGGCAAAGTGGGTCAACTGACCGGAAACAGCTGCCCTGTGAATCAATGGGATCACCAACAAAATACGGTGGCCATTTGGTTTTCCAACCAAAGTTAAAAAGCAAATTACAGATAATGGAGAAAGGATGAAAACAGAATATATGTAATTTAATGCAACCTCCCCTATACTTATGACAAATTTGTAAATGAAAATCTAATTTTTATAATAAAACTTATTTTTTTAATAACTGAATTTTG